TGAAGCGGCTTTATGAATGGGTGTTGCCAGGTCTTAGTAACAATTGCAAGTATGTTGGATTCACTGCAACACCTTTCTCAGTCTGAATCACAGGAACCTTGTGGTCTGGAACCTTTACTTCATCTCACAGTTCACTGCTCTTTTCTCTGCTTTCTCATTCCTTACTGGGTATATTCCTTTGTTGTTGGCTCTAAATGAATGTCTTAAGGAATCTAAGTGCTGCTTGGCTATTTTGCCTTTGTGATACATGCCACATTTAGTATACAGGCTTGAACTCAATTGCTGTTCTCTCTCTCTCTCTGTTTCTAGATGTTGTTCCTGCAAGACAGAAAAATATGTTACCCTACAGTCTGAACTCAGAACTATGTAACTGTATGCTAATTACTTTTCCAGTTTGCTAATAGAAAATTTAAAGGGATAGAATCCATTTAATAAGTCGTATGTATTGTGCTCATTTTAAAGGCCTTTCCAGACTTTTAGTCATAATAAAACCAGGAGTTAGAAGATACTGCATTTCATACTAATTTCTTTAATAGACAAAAATGTATGTAACTAGAGTTAAAAACAAACAAACAAACAAAAAACAAGAAACCTGGCTTGGTTATTTCAATTCTGTTCCTTTCACATTCTACACAGAACTGAAAAGTCTTAAAAAAACGGGAGTCCATCTTCTTTTTAATTTAGCCAGTTAATTTAGCCATCAAAAACATGCTGTAATTCCTTCCATTTCTTGGATTTCCTAAATCCATATTTGATAGCTTGCAATTCTTTCTTTTACCAGAGCAGTGTTATCTATTTTGGCTGCCACTGATAGAATTCTAAATAAACATTTTGCTACATTACATTCCAACAATTTAGGTATGTAGCCTACCACCATATATTGTGATGTACAGGGAAAATAAATCTCCTAAAAGGGCTCAGTTGCAGTGCGGATCTGTTGCCAAAAATCCCACATTGTGGGACTGAACCAGAAAATATGTACAGGTCTCATCCTACTCCCAGTGAAATCAGTGGCAAAACTCCCCTTGATTTCCATGGGAGAAAAATCAGACCCTAACTCTGAATCATGGCCTAGACAATTTCATGCCCTACATTAATGGGGGAAAATCCTATTAATTTTGTGTTATATCAAGGTCTTGGAAAAATTCTGACCATTGCTGTCTATAGAATTTCCTTTCTAGAAAGAGAATCAGCTGTATGAACCATCTTCTATGCCTCAGACCAGTTCACATCATCTATAAGCCATTCCTGCTCTGTGCTTTGAAAAGTGGAGTTTAGCAGTGTGTCAGTGAACAATCTGGTTCATGAAAGGAGAGAACTGCTAGAAAAAGAAAAAGCTGAAACAGCCTGCAGCCCTGGAGGAAAGGCAAAAGCAATATTGAGAGAACTAATTTTAGATCCCAGTAACCGCAGGATTTGCTTGAGAGATAAGATAAATCAGTGATACACTGAGGTCAAGGAGAAATGGCAAGAGATACTGAAAAACTGGAATTGGGAAAAACTCATCTTAGGAAGTGCAACTTAAATTTCACTGTCCATTGCCAAGGCAAGTTGACAAATTTGGAGCTCAAGCACAGTTTTTAGTGCTCAAAAGTATACAGACCACTATATATAGTTCTGGAGATAAACACATGTAACTGGATAGCTTTAAACATAGGGGATTTTGTCAAAATGCATGGAAGGCTGTTATTGATTGACTTTTAGTACAGTATAGTGATGAATACATGATTTGCAGTCTATTTGAAAAATAAGGCACTGGACAAGGAGTTGGGAGACCTGGCTTCTGTTTTCAGCTCTGCTACTGACTTGCTGTGTGAACTTGGGCAAGTCATTTGATTTCTCTGTACCTCAGTGTCACCATCTGTAAAATGAGAGTAACAGTGCTTATGCACTTCTGTTTTGGGAGCTGTGGGTGAAAAGTGCTGTGTAGATGTGTTATTTTTCAGTGACATTAATTTAACAATAAATTGAATCACATTAGATACCTTAAAAATACAAAAGGTGGTTGGCTGCCAGCACAGGTGAGGAACATCAGGGGAAGTGAGAAACTACCTCACAGCCTCACCTGAGTATGGACACAGCTAAATCCTACCCTGTGATGTGGGAGTGCACTGGTTGAAATGGGGGCCAAAAAAGAGGGTGCAAGGAAACCCTTCTCCTGTTCCCCATAGCCACCCCTGAAGCTAGCTATGCAAATTGTGGGGACACTAGTATGTGTGATGAATGGTGCACCACACTCCCATGAGGGCATAGTCAAAATCATCAGCCCGTGGGTACGCTGTGCGTACAGTAAGCCTTAGGCATGCTGCTCCTTTCTCAGCACAACTATGAAGTGAGTCCCACCATGTAGTTACTCTGTCCCATCTTGCCTTGTGCTGGCAGGATGGCTCCCATATGCACCAAAAGACCGGCACTGCTCTCCTTCATGTCAGTGTGAAGGGCAGGATTGATCTAGAAATCAACCTTCCCCCAAGGTTTTCTCCATCACTTTCTTACATCTGATGTTAAAGAGTTAACAAGTCACATTGTTTAAAAACTCTCGTTATATAGCATCCAGTTTAAGTGGTTCATAGACTTCTGCTAATTCTTGGAAGGCATCTTACAGTTCCAAATGAAAGCTCTAATGTACCTGTTTTAGCTCAGCTTAATGCAAATACACAAAAACTAATTGCTTGATTGGTTACACTGTAGTTGTTGGAGCTCATTCAAGTGGGGTTTAAAATGGAAATGCTAACAGAACCTTCACTGCAGATCTGGTAAGGCCACCACTATAATACTCTAATGAACAGGTATTCCCACTTTAATAAACACATACATAGCCATGTTCAGCTGCTGATTTTTTTATGAAAGAAATGTGGGTAGGAATACAATATGTTGTTGACTTTTCTTCCTTTCCTTTCAAAAACTGAATAAATAGGAAATATCACGGTAGCCAGTGGGATAATATACATTTTGGATGTTTCCAGATGTTGAAATAGGAATATATGTGTGTGAAGTTAAATGCTTAAAACTTTAAGATAACTTTTCTAGATCCACCTTTGTTCCCTGGAATTGTAGCCCTTGTTAGTGCAGAAAAATCTTTAATGTCCTCACTCAAATAAAACTGCTGAAGTCAATGGGAATTTTGCCCGAGTGAGCACTGTGGGAGCTGGTCATTTGGCTTTGTACTACTCTTTCTGTAATGTATATAGTGCACTGTCTTGTATTATTCAATTCTATACCAGGCATGTTTTGGAAGGCAGGTTGACGCTATGTAAGATAACACTGTATAATATATTGTTACTGAGGCAAGGTAGGAACATTGGAAAATAAATGAAAAAGACAAGGCAGAAAAGGGTGTCCTCTTTCTTCTGGCATTATAGAGCTTCCAATTTACATCTGTTCTTCATACATTTTCCAGAGGGAGTTTTGTTAGATCCTGGTTTAATTACATTTGAGATGCAAAACCTCCAGCAAACTCATTTTTCTCTATATATCATTTCATCCTCTTTTTTCCCCATTCCCCACATTTTATTTGAGCCTATATCTTTCTGCCAGGACTTTGCTGCTGAACCCCAGCAGGAATCTAAGCAGATGCTAACCATTTAGCTTTATTAAATACATTCATCAGTTTTATGTCTCCCATCCCCTTCATTTTTAGCCTGACGGCACCACTGCTAATCCGTTTGGGTAACATACAAACAGCAGATTGGGGTAAGGACTGAAAAATTCTGGTGTCATTGATTTGCTCCAAAAACAAAATGAAACAAAACCTCCCCTCTTTATTACATTGGTCATACTTAGAAAGAAGGATTCACTGTATAATGAAAAGGAGACTTGGCAATGTCTCTTTATTAAATGAGTAAATATAAGGTGACAAGGCTGTAGGTAAGTGAGGCTGTCATGGAGCAGGACAGCGGAGTTTAGCCCAGGGCTTCAGTCAGTGGACGCTGGAGCAGGACCATGACAAGAAAGGGAAGTGGACTGCTGTTATCCGGGCTACATTCCGCTCCCAGGGACGTGGATGTAAATCAGAGGAGCTCTTAATTACTTCATTGGCCTTACTCTCATTTACCTTGGTGTAGAGCTAAGTCTGGCTACCTGAGAGCTTTTGGGAGAAGGAGGGCAAGGGAAGGAGCCGACCAGAAAGGAAGTGTCTGGGGGAGAAAAAGCAGATCAGCAAGAAGGAAGGCGGGAGCAGGGACAGAGAAGATGCTTTAAGAGGCCACCTCTGGACAGATGCGTTCGGGAAAGGATCACAAAGGCTGCGCGACTCTCCTGGCCCTTCAAGAGGCGCAGGGCTCCCAGGAGAGCCGATGCAGCCGGCGGCTGCTAGAACTTGCAGACGGTGCTGCGGCCCAGAGAGGAGGCGGCGGCAGCTCCCTCCCCAGGCAGGAGCCCCGAGACCGCGTGCGCCCCGCCTCGGGCCAGGCGCGCGCTCTGCGGGGCTCTGCGCGGCTCGGCCCGGGCGGGGGTGAGGCGGGTTTGATGATGTAATCGCAAATCAGGGAGCGGTGAAATTTAACACCGAGCGCGGGTGGGGAGGGTTTGCCTTGGATCGGCTGGCGGCTCTGCTCCCCAGCCAGAGGCAGGCTGCGCTCAACGCTGCACGCCTGTGCATCGCCACTAGACACCTCGGCCAAGCGCTTTGCAAAGGCTCTGGTAACCTGGGCACCGTTTCTTCACCCCAGCCAAGGATTTCTCCTGCACGTCCCCTCCCGGCCCGCCCCATCCCCGCAGCGGATCGCCGAGTCCAATGCAGGGCTCCGCGGTACTTGCAAAGGCTGCTGTCTGTGAACCACGTGTGAAGCCGAGCGCTCCGCTCTTGTTTATACTGATGCCATCCTCTCCCTAACTCCTCCGAGAGTGAGACCCCCAAGTCACGCCCCTTCACCATGCGGGGGACGCACTAGGGCTTGCCAAGAGCTCGGAAGGGACCTCTGCTCTGGGGTTGATTTCATGGACAGTACCTGAACCTTGAGCGGTTTGGAGCTGGCTTCTGTTTTCGGTTAGATCTTCGCTGCTCGGACAAATGCAGACAAATGCATTTAGGAGCAAAAAGGACAAGGACTGGAAGCATCTCTCCCACAGCAAAAACGTAAGTAAGAGCCCAGCAGTCAAGGGTATGTGTGTGTTGTGGGAGTGAGGATTGCAGTTCGCTGCACACACAGCGCTCGTCTTGTCAGTGTCTGTGAGCACTGCAGGCAGTTTATTTTGGAGCTACGCGTTCCCCTTGTCTTTGCAATTTGTAAAATGCCCTGTTTAAAAGGCCTTCTGCCAGCGGGTCTACAGACGGTTTATGTTAAAGCAATCAAACCGCGCAGAAGGAAAAGTTTATTGGCACGTTTCCCACTGCCGGCTAAAACAGGCTTCGCGGACTTAGCGACTTCCAGGTCTCCCGCTTCCGAAATGAGTTACGGGATTCACTTATCTTCAAAAACCAACAAAAAACAAACCCCGAACTGCCAACTCCTGGGCTTGCGAGTTCTCCCCTGGAGGGGGGAATTCTGCGCTCCAGGCGTTCTCCCGGGTGGGAGACAGATGGACGGTGCTAGCGTGTCTCTGTTTAGCCTAGTAATGAGAGCACCTTTAAATCGAGGGTAGCGGTTGATGGAGTTTCCCGAGTTATGAATCAAAGGGGTTGGGGCAAGGGGTCGATAAAGAGATGAGTGTGTGTGTTTGTCCGCAGCTTTCCTCTCCTCCTGAGGACACAACAATAGTACAGGAGCTGCTGCTGGGCTAAACCTCCCTGCTGTGAGCCCGGCAGGGACAGGCAGGCTTTGGCTCTGGGGCCGGGGGAGACCGCTCTGGCTGATTGTGTTGTCACTGGGGAACTGCTGCTGATGGAGAGAGGGCAATAATGTGAGGAAACTAAGGGGAAGTGGTATTTCGACTTCCTCCCAGCTAGGGCAGACCCTGGCGTTATTTTTAGAATCGAGGATATGCTCAAGTAGCTTTTTTTCTACGCACTTGTAGGGGGAGCTGCTAGTCCTTAGCTGCAGCCCCCCTCGCCTGTTCAGCCTAAGATTGATTACTCGGGCTAGTGGCTATTTAAAGAGTCTGCAGAAATGAATCATTTCGTAATAGCGATTGTGAAGTCTGCAGCCTCCTAGCGAAGAGCCGGGGGGCGGAAAGTTCCCAGATCAGCAGTTCGCCGCCGCGAGAGGGGAATTGCAAAGACGCCCTCGAATATTTGTATGGAGTTGTATGTGCGGGGAGGGAGGGCAGCCCAAATAAGAGGCGCGCGCCCCCATCTTTACGTGCAAATTATGCCAGAGACCCCCAGGTGGCAAAAGATAGGTACAAGTGCTTTCTTCTGGTGCATCTTAGTGACAGTCTCTCCGAAGAAAGGGCAGGAGGAGACGGGGCGAGAGGGGGTTAGGCGGCGGAGGTTTTGGGGGGCAGATGTCTGGCTGGGAAGTGTGCGTTTTAAACACACCTGTGAGTTGTTTAAACACGTAAGGGGGGGTTGAGATCAAGGCAATGAATTCGATCTGATCACTCCAGCCGGGCGCAGTTTGACTTCGCTCCGTTTCTCCTTCGCAACGGATCCGCGTCCCAGCGAGCCTCCAGCGGCGTTCATTTCGTACAGAAACGTCTGTTGGTCTCGTTTCTATAAACAAACACTCCGGCGTGCCTGGTGGTCTCTGGCCCGGTGAGCCGCACGGGCACGGCAATGCGTGTGTGTGTGGGGGGGGGGTGTTGAGATTTGCACTTTAAAAAGCCCGAAATCCCCGTTTCACAGCCCGGCGATGGAATGTAGGCTCCGTGTTTGACACGCTCACTCTCGAGGAGCCAGTTCGCTTTGCTTAGGTACGTGTAGCTCAAGTGTGCACCGACTGGGGCAACATCAGTGAGCCCTGCGTGGAAATGCCCCACTCCCCGGAGACCCCGTCACCAAGGGGTCCAGGCTCCCTCTCACATTCATCCCCGGACAGGCAGGGGGCTGGGACGGGTTTGATAGTGGGGTGCTGCCGATTGAAATGACTTCCGCACCCCCAGCTCCAGAACCGGCGCACACCGGGGGCTGCTCACATTGTGCGTGCGAGCACTCGGCTGCCCCCCGTGTCCGCTAGGAGCCCTCTGTGCTGCCGGGCAACGCTGATGCGTTCGCTGGGGCTACCCCCGGGGGAGCAGAGGGGCTGGGCAGCAGGCATGGCGGGGGAACGAGGGGACGCTGAGGGAGGAGTGCGCGGCTGAGGGAGGAGTGCGCGGCGGAGCTCGGTGCTGCTGCTCCCTGTCACACCTGCGGGGGGGGGGGCATAGCGGGGCTGGGGAGAGGTATGGGGGGGGGTTGGGAAGGCGCAGCGGGAATTGATGGGGGAAGCGGGCTGAGTAGGGGCGCGCAGGGCTCCCCAGGGCAGTGTGTGTGGAGTCCTTGCTTTGCTGGCGGGGCCCGGTGCAGACACCCGTTCAGCTCCGCTGCCTTGGAGCACCGCCGAGCCCTCCCGGGCAGCGCTGATGGCTCAGTGGAGTGGGGCTCCCCCCGCACAGACCCTGCCCCTCTGGCTCAGGCCCCCCACAGCCCTGCTCCCCTTCGCCCCGCATCGTGCGACAGCATCAGGTGGACCCCAGCGCGGGGTGAGCAGCACCGAGGGGGAGCAGGGCGCTGTGGGGAGCGTGGTGGGGGAAGCGGAGAACTTCGTGGTTTCCTAGCGCTGAGGTCTTTGATGAGTCCCCCTTCCCCCCCCCCGTGGTTTGTCATTGCAGAGTTCCTCTAAACTCTGCTCCCCAGCTCCTCATCTCAAGCCCGCTTCTCCACGTGCACCGCCCAAATCCCCCCACCTCTGTTGTCCCCTCATCCCCTTCCCAGCAGCCACTCCCATATCCCCTACAGATTCATAACCCCCAACAGATTATCCCTATGCCCCTGTCCATACCTGCTTTCCTGTAGGTTCTCTACATCCTCCCTTGTCCATCTGTCCCCGCCAGCCTCATACCCTTTTCCATTCCATGCACAATCCATCCCCACTACCTGCCCCTCCCTATGCCTTCCTAATACCCTACCACATTCTGCTTTTCAATGGGAAGCCCAGCCTGGAAGGGGTTATATATTATCAGGACTGAAAGGCTGGGGCCTGTGGGGGACAGCGAAGTTGTGTGGGGTGGGGAACCTGGGGGCAATCCAGGCTGTATGCAAGGGTCTAAGAGGGTGTGCGTGGATTGTGGCTCTGTGGGGGTTGCTGCCTGTCAATGATGACAACTAGTCGTATGAATAACTATCAGAGTTGACATATACAGTGTTTATTAAAAACCTGGGAAATTCTCACTAACAAACCAAAACCTTTGCTAACAGCTTAGGTTGCTGAATTACTGAAAATCAAGGAGCTCATGAGGTCAGGCAATCTATATTCAAATGCCTCCTTACTTCCACAACTTCTCTTGCATTTGCAACATATAACTACCACTGTGCACACACCAAATTCCTCTATGTAGCACTAAAACATACAACTTTATGATTTCATACTTTTTCATGTAAAAATAACATTATAGACTTTATCAGTGCACATCATTTGTCAAGTTTATATGTTAACCTAGCTGTGGTCAGAATTAAAGTTGCCTGTAAATCTGAGTGGGCAGCAGAGGCATTTGGTTTGTACATTGTGACTAGTTATATAGTGCAAGTGCAAGGGAGTTTGTTGTGGAGGTGAGGGATCTTTGCATGATGTTTAGCTATTAAGACATATGAATGTAGGTTGCCTTAATTCAGGATCTTCTTGATCTTCAGTGATTGTGTTGGTCAGATTTCCCCTTGAGCAACCTTAAATCTAAGGTAACAGGTTTTTTAATGTGGGATTAAACAAAATTGTAGAGGGATCTTAATGCTAGATAAATTCAAATACATTTGTTAAAGTAGTACAACAGCACAAACTGAAGTTTACCTAATTGTGTCCAAAACTTGTGATGTTCAGCTAGTTTGAGCGCTACACTAATGCAAATAATAAAATAATCATCATCATCATTTGGTTTAAATTACTTTTGTTTTTTAAAAGTCCAGACACACTGTGTGCTACAGGATTGTCTCTGGGTTTAAGCTGAAGTAAAGATCCTGCTCTGTATTCTGTCATTTTAAATTCTACCCCTGACAGCTGTTTAAGCATGAGGGATCCCTGTGTCCCAGGCACTGGCCTAGAACTGCTGCCCACTATTTCTTACTATCTGACCAAATTGCTCCTCCAGCTCCCCTTCCCAAGCCCTGCATTCTCTGAATTAGGCCCTCAGATGGATTCATGGGTAATTCAGGGCTTTGCAAATTGCGTCCAGATGGGGAAAAATCTGAACTATTTGAAATGGGATGGAAGAGTCTGAAAAATCTCATACATTTGTGTAACACAGCAACATGAAAGTAGCAGCGGGGAAGGAGTTTGGCTTCTTGGGAGACTGCTGCTGCTTCTGGGACACTGGGGTTGGTTTGCACATTCCTGGCAGGGGAGCTGTCTTTCCCTGCCCAATAGCCTTGTGTCAGAATCAGTAGCAATCCATCCATTAATAAACTTCATGTATGTCGCCAGCCAGGGAAAAAAGTATTATAGGAAGCTCCGCCTGGCAGGGTTTAAACAACATGACATATTTATCCAAGATAGTTGTGTTTTCTTAAAGGGCAATGAGAGAGAGAGAGAATGTGTGTGTTGAGCGGGTTTTATCTCAATTAGAAACAACGGTCAGATGAGTACCCTCTAATGTTTGAGAGAACTAAGTGTAATTCAAGAGCCAGATCCTGCTTGCCTTACACACAGAAATCATTTTGGGACGAGTCTTGCTTATTCTCAGGGTATGTCTACACTACGAGAGTAGTTCGATTTTACTTAAATCGAATTTTTGGAATCGATATTGCAAAGTCGAATGTGTGTGTCCACACTAAGGACAGTAATTTGACTTTGTGAATCCACAGTAACGGTGAAAGCGTCGACATTGGAAGCGGTGCACTGTGGGCAGCTATCCCACAGTTCCCGCAGTCCCCGCTGCCCATTGGAATTCTGGGTGGAGCCACAAATGCCTTCTGGGTAAAAAAAATGTCTCAAGGGTGCTTTTGGGTAACTGTCGTCATCCGTCCATCACTCCCGCCCTCCCTCCCTGAAAGCGCCGGCGGGAAATCAG